GGCTCACACCTGTAATCTCAGCACTAGGGAGTTCCAGGCCAGCCTGGGATATACACCAAGACCTTGTCTCAAAAGAGTGAAAGAAAAAAGAGAGAGGAGAAAAAAAAATAGAGCAAAACTTGATTTCTGTCAGTTCTGGAAGCTGAGTAGCTCAAATTTAGGGCTCATCAAATTCAGTGTCTGGTAAGGGCCTGCTTTCTTGTTCATTGAAGCTGTAGCCTCACCTAGTAAAAGGACCAGGCAGCCTCTTTCCTTCCTTCCTTCCTTCCTCCCTCCCTCCCTCCTTTCCTTCCTTCCTTCCTTCCTTTTTTTTTCTTTGTGGTACTGGGGATTAAAGCAGAGCCAAGCACTGTACGTCTTGAGCCACCACTCCCAGTCCTTTAGTTTAGTTTAGCTTAGTTTTTTTTCTGATTGTGTCTCACTCATGCTTTTGCCTGGGGTCAGGAACCACCATTCTCCTGTGTCTGCCTCCGGGTAGCTGGGATTACAGTGTGTACTACCATGCCTTGTCCTCTCTGGGGCCTTTTATAAGGGCCCTCATCCTACTTTATAAGGCTTTGCCCTCGTGACCTAATCATGTTCCCAAAAGCCCACTTCCTAATACCATCATCCTTGGTGGACAGAATTTCAGTGTGTGAATTTTGAAGAGAACACACGTATTCAGATGATGACAACATCGAAGTCAACGTGGACCTGGCCAAGGCATCCTAGATCAGAGTACCCGGATGATCCACTGAGCCATGAGATCTGATAAATTCTGTTGTTGTCTTCGGCACTGGGGTTTGAACCCAGGGCCTTGCTCATGCTAGGCGAGCACTCTGCCACTGAGCCACACCTCTAGCCCACAGAGTTATTAAGTTTAAGTTTGTGACAGCAGAGGTTAACTGATGTCAATGGTATTTTAGTATCATTTTTATAAGAGCCATTTGTGCACCTTTCCTGTCCTTTGCTAATATTTTATTGACTCATAAAAGCTGTGTTAGTTCCTGCAGTTGTCATAACAAAATATGTCAAAGTATATAGCCTCAAAGAACCAAAATTTATTATCTACAAGTCTGGATTCAAAAAGTCCCAATGTGTGGTGGTGCACACCTGTAATCCCAGCACTTGTGAGGCTGCGGCTGGAGGATTGCAAGTTTGAGGCCAGCCTGGACTACAAAGTGAGACTCTGCTTCAAAAAAAAAAAAAAAAGACTCCCCTTTGGACCTCAGTTTCTTTGCCTGGGAAATGGGAGAAAAGAGGTATTGGAATCAAGAGCTGTTCCCTCCCCAGGGAGGCCCTGAGGGGAGAGGGCTTCCCTGTCCGGGAGGATCTGAGGCCAGGTCAGTGTGACCATTAGCCTCCTGGCAGAAGGAGGCCATGGCTGTAGCCCTGCCACCTCCATCAACTCAGGACCCAGTCTCCAGACTAGAGACACAGAGGGACACAGAGGGGAGACAGTGGCCAGGCCAGAGGGTGGTCAGCTCATCAGGGGAGGTGGCAAGAGGCTAAGGGGACCCCAGACAGATGCAAGTGTTCCCATGAACACATGCACACACTCACACACAGCAACTCTGTCTACTTTTCTTTCTGAAGATCCTTGGACGGTGTTCTAATTCATACTCTCTCTCTCTCTCTCTCTCTCTCTCTCCTTGTCCTGTCTTTCTCACTGGCTCTCCTTCCCACCCTATCTCTCCCTCTCTGTACTTCCTCTTTCCTTCTCCTTGTCTGTTGTTGATCACTCTGTCTTTCCTGCTGTCTCTCTGTCCCTCTCTCCCTCTGTCCCTGTCTCTCCAGCTCTCTCACCCTCTCCATCTCTGCATAAAATCCAAAACCCTCCTCTCATCAGTCTGGGGGAGCCCCTGCAACCCTGGGCCTCACCCACAGCCCGGCAGGCGGGCAGGAGCTGGGTGAGGCCCACGTGAGTCACAAGGAGGAAAGAGGGAACATTCTTGTCACTTTTCTGCAGGTCCCTGGGCCCTGCGTGTCCCCTCCCTCAACACGTCACAGGAAACTTACAGGTGTGTCACCTGAAGCAGAGACAGTAGTCAGAGGGAGGGAGAGACCCACTCAGAAAGAGAGAGGGAGAGAGAGGCAGAGACAGATGGACAGACATGGAGAGAGACAGAGAGGAGAAGCATATAGAGTCAGAAAACAGATGCAGGACCACAGAGGAGATCCACAGACAGAGAAACAGAAGCAAAAAAAAAAGAATGAGAGAGAGAGAGAGAGAGTCAGAGACGACAGATGGACACAGAAGAGAGACAGAGATTTCAGGAAGTCAGAGTTCAAGGAATGATGAACCAACTGGAAGAAACTTCCTTCATGTTTAAATAAAAGAGGAAACTGTGTCCCAGACCTTTGAGGTCACAACAGGCAGTGGTTGCCCCAGTCCACGCAGCTCCACAGCCCCCCAAAACCTAGAATTTTTCTTTTCACTGACAGATGTCTCCCACCGACCCCAGACCCATTTTACAGATGGGAAAGTCGAGGAGCAGTGGAATGAAGCCATCTTCCTGGGGTCACCTAGGAGCAAGTGGCTGAGCTGTGTCAAAAACCTGCCTGCACCAGTCACACCCCAACTTTCTACTTCCCCGTGAGGAACCCTGTTTTCCGGGTGAGAAAGTGGAGTCTCAGAATGAAGGCTTGTATTGGCTCAGAGTGACCCACCCAGGGAGTGGTCCACTGCATCATCTGCATGACAATGGCTGACCTCAGATTCTATGACACATGTCCAGCTTCTCTGTCACTCCGGAAGAGGAAATAGGGCCAGAGTCCAGAGTTGGGGCAACTGCGATCATTGCAAGCTACCTTTTCACTGAGTCTGTACCATGCCCTGGGCCAGGGGCAAGAATCTTAAGTGTGTTCTTTTTATTTGAGACAAGGTCTCGCTGTGCAGCCCAGGCTGGCCACAAACTCAAACTCGCAATCCTCCTGCCTCAGCTTCCAGAGTGCTGGCATTACAGACATAGGCCACTACTCCAGAATGCCAACCCTGGAAGGAGACACTTGCCATCTCTGCTTTGGAGCTGGTCACTCATACCTGTAATCCTAGCTACTCAGGAGGCAGAGATCAGGATAGAGGTTTGAAAACAGCTGGGGCAAATAGTTCTCGTGACCCTATCTCAAAAATATCCAACACAAAACAGGGCTAGTGGAGTGGCTCAAGGTGTAAAATGCCTGCCTGGCAAGTGTGAGGCCAGAGTTCAAAGCCCAGTGCCACCAAAATATTTTTTTAAAGAGTATAACCATTATTGCCAAGGAAGCCACTGTTTTCTCATTGCCTTCTACCTCTCCCTCCGCCTCCCTCAGCCACATTGACCTCTCTGCTATTCCTAGGTGTCATTCAGGCACATTCTGCCCACACTCCCTCTCCTTAGGTTCCTAAGCACCTGCCAGACTTCCCTCACTGTTCAGACTGCCCCACTTAAACCAGCTCACAGCCGCTCAGCCCCTTTTGCTTATCACTGTCTGACTATGAAAGGTTAGATAACAATTATCAACTCTCCACTCTCAGCCCACAAGGGTGGCAGCTTTGCTTTGTTTCCTACTGTGTCCCCAGTTCCTGGGTCAGTCCCAGCACTAAGGAGATGCTTAGTAAGTGTTGAAGGAATTTATTAAACCCTCCATTTTGGCCAGTCACAATTCTAGGCATTTCCTCTGTCATTGACTACGTGTCTTAAGACCACGGACTCTTTTGTCTTTTGCATTTTTTTTTGAAGGGGTTTAAACTCAGGATCTTGCACTTGCTAGGCAGGCACTCTACCACTTGAGCTAGGCCCTCATTTTATTTCTACTTCTTACACCTTTCCAAACACACGGCAGTAGAGAGAGAATGACATAAGTCCTCGTGCCTGTAAATGTGGTAAAAGTAATACAAATATTTGCCTCATTTATTTATTTATTTATTTAAGACTGGGTCTCCTTATGAAGCCAAGGCTGGCCTTCAACTCCACGTCCTCCTGCCTCAGCCGCCAGAGAGCTGGGAACCACAGGCGTGGGCCACCAGATCTTTTGCTTTTAATTTTCTTCTGATGTATATTTTTTCTTTTGCTTTCTTTCTTTCTTTCTATTTTTTCTTTCTTTCTTGCAGTACTGGGGCTTGAACTCAGGGCCTTCACCTTTAGCCACTCCACCAGCCCTCCTTTTGTGATGGGTTTTTTCGAGAACTATTTGCCCGGGCTGGCTTCAAACCTGGATCCTCCCGATCTCTGCCTCCTGAGTGGGTAAGATTACAGGCGTGAGCCACCGGTGCCCGGCTTCTAATGTATTCCAAATAGAGACACCAATGACATTCACCCCTAGATACTTCAGTGAGCATCTGGTTTAAAGAAGAAGGAGGAGGAGGAGAAACAGAAGACCTTTCTCTCAACAGTGGTATCTACTTTGGGGGCTGAAATGTTTTAAGGTAAATAAAGACCATTATGTTATTTCACATCCAAATGTTTCAGAATGCATCCCTGAGTGATACAGACATTTTACCAAAAGAACCCCAATGCCATCATTTCCTTCCCCTAACAAAAGTTACCAAAGTTCTAACATTATCTAATAGTCGATCATGTTCACCCCTCCTCCTGTGTGGACAAGTTTTTTGTTTGTTTGTTTTGGTGGTGGTACTGGTGTTTGAACTCAGGGCCTCATGTTTGCTAGGTAGGCTTTCTACCGCTTGAGCCACTCCACCAGCTCTGTGCTGTGTTGGGTATTTTCAAGATAGGGTCTCAAGAACTATTTGCCTGGGGCTGGCTTCGAACCGTGTTACTCCTGATCCCTGCCTCCTGAGGAGGTAGGATTGCAGTAGTGCTTTTTTTTAAGCTGAGAAGAGTGATTGCTTAAGTTCTCCTAGCAGGATGAGGGAGACCTGGGATTTGAACTCAGGCAGTCGGATGACAGAGCTGTGACCTCAATACATGAGTCAGGTAGGAGCCATTCACTCAGCTGGCCGCTTTGGCCGCGCCTGTCCAAGAAGGGAAGTTTTGTGGGAGAGGAGGGAGGTCGTGGGGGGGGAAGGGGGAGGCGCCCACGCAGCTGCAGCTGACTCGCTCTTTAGCAAAACGTCTGGGAGGAGCCGTCGGGACCACAAAACTGTCTGGTACCCGGATCAGACCACAGAGGTACAGGAAGGCAGAAGACAGGAGCATGGGTCGCGCGCTGATGCTGTTGCTGTCGCTACTGTGGACTCTGGCCTGCATCCCAGGTAGGGGCTGCGTGCCGAATACCTGCGCCGGGGACTAAAGAGCTGGGGGGTCAGGGTCTGGGGAGTATGGCTGGGGGTAGACCCCAGCACCTCTCCCCTCTCCATCAAATAACTCTCCTGCTAGCTCACGCAATCCCACGTGGCACAGTACCCGGTAAGTGCTAACATTAACATTTAACAAGTCATTTAACAAGGGCGATCACTTACGTAGTAAGTGTTCCCTGTCGCTCTTCTAAGCTGCTTGCGCAGGGGACTCTGGTTAATTCTGCTTCACAGAGGTCAATGAGGCACAGAGGGGTTAAGTAACTGATCCCAAACCAAACAGCCAGTTCTTGGATAAAAGAGATCCAGACCCCGTAGCTGCGCCCCACGGCGGCGGATCCCCACTTTGAGAGTTAAGGGAAAGCAACCCCACATTACAAGTCCAAAAAAAGTTCAAGTCTCGGAGCCAGGGGGTGGGGACCCGGGCCTTGTCCCCTTCCCTGTCACTGTCTCCTTACCGGCATGACCGTCTCCCCTGTTTCCCCCGGAAAACTTGAGGGAATAGGTTTAAGAAATGAGAGGAAACTGCGGAGGCTCTGAGTCAGGGCGGGGCGGGCGCCGTGCGGGATGGCGGGGCGGTGGGGTGGCGATGAGTAACTCAGCGCTCGGGACCGCGGGAGGCCGAGAATGAGTAATAATTCCGAATTCTGGAAAGGAAAGGGTCGTCCCAGGAGGCCAAGTGGACAGACAGAGAGACAGCTTGGGTGTGCAGAGTGGACTCTCTATGATCTCCGGGAGGAGCTGGCGGGACCGACGCGGGGCCTTGGGGAGGAGCCGGTGGGCGGGGCTAACACTTGGGAGGCGGGCCGGAGGGTAGGGCGGGATCATCTGGGAGGAGGTGGTGGGCGGGACCAAAGCATAGGGGCGGGCCTGAAGGGCAGGGCTAGGTCTTCCGAGGCGAGGGGGAAATCGGTGGGCGGGGCTAAGGCCCAGGGACGGTCCGGGGGAGTGGCTATGACAACTGAGAGGAGCCAGAGGAAGGGGCTAAACCCTAGGAACTGGTGGGCGGGGCTTAAACATAGGGGAGGGCCTGGTGGGCAGGGCTAGGCCATCAGGGAGGAGCCGGAGGGCGGGGCTAAAGCCCAGGGACGGTCCGGGGGCGTGGTTATGACATTGATGAGGAACCAGAGGCGGGGCTAAAACAAGGGAGGATAAAGGGGCGGTGCTACGACATTGGGGAGGAGCCAGGGGCCTGGAGATAACTTCAGAAAAGAATCATGGGCGGGGCTAGACCCTAGGTAAAGGCTTGGAGGGCGGGGCTAGTATATCTGGGAGGGAGAAGGGGCGGAGCTAGGGAAGAGGCTGCAGTATCTGGGAGGAGTTAGGAGCCTGGGAGAACATCTGGAAGGAGCTAGAGAGCGGGGATAGGACCTAACGGACAGCCTGCCCTGCGGGAGAGAATTTGGGGGAGATTCGATTGGCTGGGACTAGATCTGGGGAGCGCTGGTGGGAAGGTTAGAACCTCAGAATAAATTGATGAGCAGGGAGAGAGACCTGTGAGGACAGGCTCTGGAGAGGACTAGAACCTGGGGGCGTGAGTGGGGTGGGGGGGATTGCAGAGGTGGGAGCCGAGGGCAGCTGGGAGGGAGAAAGGACCTACACGGCATCAGGGACAGGTCATCCTGTTTGAGAAGGCGGGGGTATGACTTTCACAAGACACCGCACAAGGACAAACTTAAAGGGAAAGGGCCAGGACAGGACTTTGGGGGGAGGACTTGTGGGACAGGAATAGGTAGGACCGCCAGTCGGAACCAGCGTTAGGATCATGGGGCGACAAAACGTGACTGGAGCACGAACCTAAGTGGTCCTTAGACTGTTCCAGCTTGGGGCAGGACAGGGGAGAGTCAGACCCCGGTGCGGAGCGTGTAACCCGCTCTCCTTTCCTCCCCCAGCCTCTTGGGGCCTGCAGTGCATCCGGTGTGAGAGCAGTGCGAGCTGCCGCGAGGAGGAGTGTGCCCCCGGCCACGACCTCTGCAGGACCACCGTCCTGCGCGTGTGGGAAGGTGAGGGCTACTGACCCCGCCCCGCCCCCACCCCATCCAACCCTGCGGTGTGGGGGGGGAGGTAAGACGAGGGAGAGAGGTTGCCCAGAGCAATTTGGCAGTGTGTCAGCAGTTCAACTCCTAAGAATGTAGACAGTCCAGGGACACAAGTTTAAGGATACTTTTGTAATAGGGAAAATTGGGAATAACCTCAAGTCAGTCTGCTGCTTTAAAGGAAGGAACTGTTGTTGTTTGTTTGGGCGGTACTGGGGTTTGAACTCAGGGCCTTGGGCTTGCTAGGCAGGTGCTCTACCACTTGAGCCTTGCCCCCAGCCCTTTTTAGCTTTAGCTGTTTTTCAGGTAGGGCCTCCTGGAGGGCGTCAGACCAGAATTCTCCTATCTATAGTCCCCCATGTAACTGGGGCCAGAGGTGGGTGTCACCGCATTAGGCTCGTTGAATGACATGGGGTCTCACTAACTTTTTGCACTGGCTGGCTTCAAACATCAATCCTCCCTCTCTCTGCCTCCCAAGTAGCTGGAATTACAGGTGTGAGCCATCACACCTGGCTTTGATATCATTTATTACATAAGCTTTAAACAAAGAAGGCAATGGTGTATGTTGTTATGCATATATAATATCAGGAGCAATAGAATTTAGGAGGTGTAAATCTGGAACTTTAGCTGTTTCTTCTGAGTCTCATTTCCTTTTAAAAATAGAGCAAATGCTAATATTTGGGCTTAGATGTAGCTCAACTGATAGAGTGCTTACCTGTCATGCAGAAGGCTCTGGGTTCCATCCCCAGTACCACAAAAAAAAGAAAAAAGAAAAAAAAGAACTAATATTTTACAAAGTTGGGTTATGAACACCCAGTATTTATTATATTCTTCTCTTATACTTTTTGGTAAGTGCAAAGCATTTCACTTTTAAAATACACATCAGAAGCAGGGTGTATTGGTGCACATCTATAATCCCAGCCCTCAGAAGATTACAACAAAACAAAAAATAAATAAATAAATAAAATTTTTCTCTTAGAGACTTCTCCCTTCTTCACTAAACTGGTGCTGAGGGGGTGGGACATAAGTCTAGAAAAGACAGAATTAGAACTGGGTCTGGTGGCTCACACCCGTGATCCCAGCTAGTCTGCAGGTGGAGATGAGGGATATCATAGTTCAAGGCCAACCCCAAGCAAGAAGTTATCAAAGCCAGGTGCTGGTGACTCATGCCTGAAATCCTAGCTACTTGGGAGGATCACAGTTAGAAGCCTGCCCAGACAAATAGTTCACGAGACCTCATCTCCAAAATAACCAGAGCAAAATGGACTGAAAGTGTGGCTCAAGCAGTAGAGCGGTAGCTTTGCAAGTGTGAGGCCCTGAGTTCAAACCCCAGTCCCGCCAAAAAAAAAAAAATTATCAAGACCTCCATCTCAACCAATAAACTGGGCATGGTGGCACTTGTTTGTTATTCCAGTTACAAGGGAGGCATAAACAGGAGGGTCTTGGTCCAGGCCAGTCAGGGCAGAATTGTGAGGCCCTATTAGAAAAAATAACTAAAGCAAAAAGGGCTGGGGGCTTGACTCAAGTGGTAGAGTGCCTAGCTGGCAAGCACGAGGCCCTGAGTTCAAACACCAGCACCAACAGAGAAAAAAAAATTAGAGTTGGGGCCCAAAGAAGAGGTGAACTGAAGCAGGGAGGCAGTGGCTCACGCCTGTAATCCTAGCTACTCAGGTGGCAAAGATCAGGAGGATCACAATTCAGAGCCAGCCTGGGCAAATAGTTAATGAGACCCTATCTTGTAAAAAACCCATCACAAAAAAAGGGCTGACAGGGTGGCTCAAGGTGTAGGCCCTGAGTTTAAGCTGCAGTACTGCCAAAAAAGACAAGCTGGAGAGGATCAGAATTGGCAGTGGGTGAGCCCTGAAGCCGAGGATGTCACTAAAGATGCGTTCCTCACAAGAGAAGAAGAGCTGGAGGTGGTGGAGAGAGGCTGTGCCCATCCAGAAAAGACTAACAGAACCCTGAGCTATCGGACTGACTCGCAGATCATCAGCCTTACAGAGAACGTGTGTGCGGGAAACCTGTGCAACCGGCCCAGACCTGGTAAGTAGGGCGGCACTCGTTGTGCCAGCCCCAAAGTGTCCCCAGCGCAGCCTCATTATCATCCCTTCCTACCCCCATCCTATGCCACCCCAATTCCAACTCCATTCCTGACTCCTGTATCCCAACTCTAACCCATCTTCAGCACAGCCTGAACTTCACTCTACTCTCATAGGGTCTCCAACTCCAACCCACTTCCACCCCAAACCCATCCCCATCTCCCAGTCATAAACTCACCCTCATCTTTGTGTGGATATAGGTCATATACAAGGCACAACCCCTGCTCTTAACACTCTCACACTAGCTTTCAAAGGCTACTTTTTCCATGAGTTCTAGAGGGTTGGATGTGGAAACTCATGCCTGTAATCCCATCTACTTGGGAGGATCAAGGTTGGCGGCCAGTCTGGACACAAAGTTAACCAGACCCAAACTCAACAAATAAGCTAAGTATAGTGGTTCACTTTTGTAATCCCAGCTATATGGGAGCAAAGGTAGGAATATCATAGTCTGAGGCTGGCACCAGGTAAAAGCAAAAGACCCTATCTGGAAAAATAAGTAAAGCAAAAAGGGGTGGGTGTGTGGTTTCAGCAGTAGAGCACTTGCTTGCAAGTATGAAGCCCTGAGTTCAAAACCCAGTACCACCACTGAGGAGAAGGGGAGAGAGACAGAGACAGAGACAGAGACAGAGTCCAAGCAATAGATGAGGAAGGACCAAGACACAGAATTTCAAAGTTCTTTGCCCTTCCTTCCCTCCTTTTTTCTTCCCTCCTTTCCTCTTTTCCTCCCTTCCTCCTTTCTTCCTTCCTTCCTTCCTTCCAACTTGTGGAACTTGTGATCCTTCCTTTTCTGCATCTTAGTACTGGGATTACAGATGTGTATCACCACACCCTGCTCAAAGTTCTTAAGGGAAGTCAAAAAAAGAGAGGAAGCTGGGCATAGTGATGCATGTTTATAGTCCCAGCGGGAAGGTGAAACAAAAGGATCACTTGAGCCCAGGAGTTTGACACCAGACGGAAACAACAAGACTCCATGTGAAAATATTTTTAAAAGGGCTGGGTAGGTAGCTCAGTGGTAGAATGCTTGCTTAGCATGCATAAGGCCCTGAGTTCAATCCTCAGTACTGCAAAACAAATTCAATTAAAAAGAGGACAGAGCCAGGCACTGGTGACTCACACCTGTAATCCTAGCTACTCAGGAGGCAGAGATCAGGAGGATCACAGTTCAAAGCCAGCCCCAGCAAATAGTGTACAAGACCCTATCTCAAAAAAAGAAAAAAAAACACACAAAAAAAGGGCTGGTGGAGTGGCTGATGGTGAAGGGCCTGAGTTCAAACTCCAGAACTGCAAAAAAAAAAAAAAAAGGAGAGATGGTGGCAGGCACTGGTGGCTCACACCTGTAATCCTAGCTACTTGGGAGGTTGAAATCCTGAGGATTGTGGTTCAAGGTCAGCCCTGGCAAATAGTTCTTGAGACCCCCTGTCTCCAAAATTACCAGAGAAAAATGGACTGGAGGTGAGGCTCAAGTGGTAAAGAGCTTACTTTGCAAGCGGGAAGCCCTGAATTCAAATCTCAGTTCCACCAAAAAAAAAAGGGAGGACAGGATGACAGGCTGCTGTGGGCGGAATAAGTCCCTAGGAATTGACAACCCTTGACTGGGACAGAGAGAACCAATACAAAGAAATTTCTTCAGCCCTTTTGTTGACTTACAAAGGATCAAATTCTCCACAAATCCCACAGGAGAGGCCAGGATGGGGTAGGAAGGGACTGTGCTGCACAGTCAGCAGCTGCCTCCTCTTTCCCAATCTAGTAAGGGAGGAAGTTGATTGAGGCCGTGCACAGTCACAGAGACATCAGTAAGCAGAACTGATTCAAGCTCAGCTTTCCTTCTTCCTCCATTCTCATGTGGCCTGATTTTTCTCCATCCTAACCACAAACTATCTAGTGGCAGGGTTGGGTCAGATACTCTTTTGTTTTGTTTTTTTTTTTTGGAACAGGGTCTCGATGGTAGCCCAGGCTGGTCCTGGAACTCACAATCCTTCTGCCTCAGCCTCCTGAGTGCTCAGAGTGTACCACACTTGGCTTATTTTTAAGGCAGTGACAAGAGAGAGGCCACTGGCTGGCTCTCCCTAGTAGATGTGCTTAAGGAAAGAACTAATACTTGGGCCTAAGGAATGCATTGAATCAGAGACAAAAGTCAAGGTGTTTAACAACAGTGGTGTTGCATGTCTGTAATCCCAGCACTTGGGAGACTGAGCAAGGAGGATGACAAGTTTAAGGCTAGCCTGGGCTAGGTAGTGAGACCCTGTCTTTAAAAAAATATCAACAGCCGTCAGAGACAGAACAGACCCCAAGAAGCCCCCTTCAGGGCCACTGTTACCCCTTTGGCTGATAGATTACAGGGACATGAGGGGTCTCCAGGGAGAGATGGGTGTGGCAGAGTCCACTGGGAGTTGGGTTAACACCTGTCCATTCAGCAGTCTCATAATGGATTCCTTCTATCTCCATGACTAGAGCCACCTTCCCTGTGGTGGCGACTTGTACAGTTGACTAACCCACACTTAGACACGGCATGACCAACCCAGTCCAGTGTGCTTTGGGGGCCGACGAATGACACACACATTACAAGACAAATGCTAACCAAATTAGTCAGGGATGGGATGCGCAGGGCCAGGCAAGAGGTCAGCAGGAGCTGTGGGCCCTAGCAGGATGCCTGGCTCAGCTCAGGGAAGGGCTTCTAGAGGAAGCAACAGCTGTGTGGGGTCTTGAAGCAGAGGAGGAGGAGGGGATGGCCAGTGGAGACTTTCTCAGCAAAGGACCAAGAGCTGGGTCAAAGCAGTGAGGGAAAGAAAACATGGTAGGAAGCGGGCACAGTGGCTCACGCCTGTAATGCCAGCTACTTGGGAGGCTGAGATCAGGAGGATTGTGGTTGGAGGCCAGCCCAGGAAAATAGTTCATGAGACTCCCCATCTCCAAAATAACCAGAGCAAAATGGACTGGAGGTGTGGCTCAAGCAGTAAAGAGCCTGCTTTGCAAGTGTGAAGCCCTGCGTTCAAACCCCAGTCCCTCCAAAGAAAAAAGCATGGGAGAAGATGAGCCACACACAAAGGAGTAGATGAGGGGAAGCCAACATGGAGGTGCTCCAGATGGAGAGGGTGGCCAGCCAAGAGACAGGCGCAGTGAGTGGAAGAGCTCTGGCTGGTAGCCATCCAAACCTAAGTGATGTGTGGGACAGAGACGTCCAGGTTTGGCCATGATGGAGTCACTTGTGTCAGGGTCAAGCTTCTGCCGATGACAACTGGGAACACTGGACAAATGGCAGACAGTGGTATGAAGTCCCTGGAGAGCAGCAATGGAGGGAGGCCCGGAGGCGTTGCCCCCTTTGAAGTACGGGAAGCACAGACGCTGGGTTTCACAGGCAGCCTGGCTTGTTCCCCAGTGCGTTCCAACTCCCTGCTGGAGCGTCCCAGACAGAGTCGCTAGACTGAGGGGACAGGTTGGAGTACAGGCTGGAAAAACCAGAGGTGTAATCCCAGAATAGCGGGGACCCCAGAAAAAGGAGTCCCCAGATCTGCCAACACATTTCCTTCAAGTCACCGGCAAGCTGTGCCTGCCCAGGGTGAGACATGGAGGAAATCAGCAAAAATTAGTAGCTGGGAAGTCAGAACTGAGCCGGCTTCCAGCAGGCACGGGGTGCTGATGAGGCAGGTGTGGAGGTGGGGTGGCCTCAGTCACCACCCCAGGCATTCCTCTGAGCCCTCGCCCTAGTGGGGGAAGGCCTGAAAAAGCCAGATCCATCCTTGACAGGAAGAAAAGCTAACCATCTTCGGGACAGGACATCACATAGAGCCTTTAAAGTTTTCATCTATAATGTCTGACATTGAATATAAGCTTGTATAGTAGCCTGAAGGAAGAAAAAAGAACTGACTGACCAGAAACTGAGAAAAATCAAACAACGGCAACAGATTGGTGGTGATTCGGATAGTGGAGGAACTTTAAAATAGCTCTGATTTAAGCTGGGAATAGTGGTGCGTGCCTGTAATCCCAGCACTCAGGAGGCTGAGGGAGGAGGATTGTGAGTTCCAGGCCATCCTGGGCTACATAGTGAGCCCAAGCAAGAAAGTGAGGGAGGGAGCAGGGAGGGAGGAAGGGAGGAAGGAAGGAAGGAAGGAAGGAAGGAAGGAAGGAAAGCCTGGTGCAGTGGCTTGTGCCTATAATCCTAGGTACTCAGGAGGCAGAGATCAGGAGGATAGTGTTTCAATGCCAGCCTGGGCAAATAGTGCATAAGACCCTATCTTGAAAAACCCCTCATAAAAAAGGGCTGGTGGAGTGGCTTAAGGTGCAGGCCCTGAGTTCAAGCCCTAGTACCAAAAAAACAAAGAAAAAAAGAAAGAAAGAAAGAGTGGCCTAAGAAGAGTTCACAAAGGAAACCAACTGATGGTGTCAGACAGCTTCCTTGGCCACGATGGAAACTCCTGTTTTCATTTTCCTGAAAGGTCACACGCAAAGGCATGGCTCACGGGCCTTTCAGGTTTTTTCTTTGAGGGTGATGAGTTGGCTGTGATGGAAAGGATTCAGCTAATTACAGCGAGCCTGCCAGTGGGAAGCCTTGGCTCAGACATGGTTCCCTTCTTTAAGTCTTGGCCCGGACGCAGCTTGAATAACGTGGATCAGGAAGGATCACGCATGCCAGGCGGGGAGATGTGTGAGCCAAGGTCCAGGCACTGGAATGACCCAGAGTTTCCAGGGAAAAGTAACAGATCCAGTTGGCCTCCACTGAAAGGCTTATGCAAAAGGAAGTTATCGCGGATCAATGAAGAGGCCTTGATGTCTCAGATAGTTAGGTAGAGGGTATAAGTTGTTGATTGCTGTCTCACTCATTGCCCCCAACTTAAAACAAAAATTAACATGTGTTATTTCAAAGTCTCTGCAAGCCAGGAATCCTGGAGTGCAAGTTGGGCATGGTGGTGTATGTCTGTAATCCCAGCACTCTAGAGGCTGAGGCAGAGATCAAGGAATACATAGCAAGGCACTGTCTCAAAAACCAAGGACTGAGGATGTAGCTCACTGGTAGAGTGCTTGCCTAGCATGTGCAAGGCCCTGGATTCCATCCCTAAAAGACAAAAAACAAAAAACACCACTGGAGGCCGTCTTGGAGACTGGCTACCTCAGGGAGCAATAGAAAGGCTTAAGTAATTTTTTTTGGCAGTACTAGGGTTTGAACTCAGGGCCTTACACTTGCTAAGCAGGCATTCTTACTGCTTGAACAACTCCACCAGCCCTTTTTTGTGATTTTTTTTTTCCAGATAGGGTCTTGAGAACTATTTGCCCAGGGCTGGTTTCAAACCACAGTCCTCCTAATCTCTGTCTCCTGAGTAGGCAGGATTACAGGCATGAGCCACCAGTGTCTGGCTTAAGTAATTTTTAATTCATTCATTAAAAAAAAATGTAGTGAACCAGGCATGGTGGCTTATACCTATAATCCTAGCTACTTGGGAAGTGGAGAGCTAGAGGATCACAGTGTGAGGTCGGCCAGGCAAAAAGTTACTGAGGCCCCATCTCAGCCAATAGGTGGTACAGGCCTATCATCCCAGCTACGCAGGAAGCACAAATAGGATCATGGTCTAAGCCTTGCTGGGCATAAATGTGAGACCCTACCTCAAAAATGCCCAAAACAAAAAGGCCTGGGGTCATGGCTCAAATGGTAGAGCGCCTGCCTAGCAAGAGCAAGGACCTGAGTTCAAACCCCAGTGCTGTCTATATATTGAATAATGAATATCTTCTCTGGCCCTATGCTAGTAGTGACCCTACCCTCCTGGGGCTCACAGTCTGACATTAAATAGTGACCACCCAGTCTGAGCAGGGCTGGGATGGGGGAAAGAGCCATAGGAGCTCAGAGGGGGTCCCTGATCCAGCCTAGTGCGTCAGGGAGGGCTTCCCAGAGGAGGTGACATTGGAGCGATGACATGGAAAGAGTGTGTACGAGTTAGGAAAAGTGGGGAGCAAAGGCCAGTCAGCTTGTGTGCTGGGGGAGGAAAGGGGCAAGCGCATGGTGATGAGGTAGGACAGGAGGTGACCAGGACCTAGTGTCTGATGGGCTTTGAGTGCCACACTCAGGCCCTAAAAGCAGTAGGGAGCCATGGAAGGATTGCCAGCAGAGGAAAGGCAGGGTCAGACTTAGTCTTAGCAGCCTGGTGTCAAAGATGGAAACAAAGGAGGGAGACCTGACAGGCCGCGGGGCTGGGAAGGAGGTGGAATCACCCGTGGGGCTGAGGACCAGCTGGCTCAGAGGCTTTGCAAGGAGGAGTGGGGTCCTCACGCCTCACCCCCTGTCCTCTCCACAGTGGGCCGGGGGCCCGTCGTCCCCTTAGGCCGTTACCTGGAGTGCTCTTCCTGCACCTCGGCAGACAAGAGCTGCGAGAGGGGCCGCGAGCAGACATTGCAGTGCCGCTCTCCCCGTGAGCAGTGTCTGGAGTTGGTGACCCACCACAGCCTGGAAGGTGAGCCCCAACCCGCCAGCGACTCCCCCTCTCTGCCTTGCTCTTCCCCAAGGCTAAGCTCAACAGAGACCCCTCGCGTGCGCACACATCCAGTGACTGGAAGCCCAGGGCTGCTAGGACAGCTCTAGAGTGTCAGGGAACCCAGAGGCTTCATTCCTCAACTTTTACTTCCACTAGCAAGACTGCCTCATGGTCCAATATGGCTGCCAGAGCTCCAGGCCTTGTGTTCAAGTTTCAGGAAGGAGTGGGAAAAGGAGGCAAAAAAAAAAACCAGGAAACATTCTTTTTTTGTTCCTTTCTGGAAGTTCCATAAAGCACTTCCACTTAGATCCCGTTGGCCAGAGCACGACTATGCTTAAGGAGGCTAGAAAGGTGGCTCCCCTAAATAAAATAAAGGTCCAGTTTCACCTCCTCACCTCGACTGACTGCTGACCTTCCCCCCTTACATCCCGCCCCCAGGAAGCTTGAGCGATGAGAACCACATCCGAGGCTGTGGCATCCTTCCGGGCTGCCCAGGCCCCACCGGGTTCCACAACAACCACACGTTCCACTACCTGCAGTGCTGCAACTCCACCAAGTGCAATCGGGGCCCGGGTAAGGGGCGTGGCCAGAGAAGGGGCGGGGTCACACGGGGGCGGGGTCAGACAAGGGGCGGGGCCTGGAGCCCATTGCTCCAGCTCTCTGAAAAGTGGGCATAGCAAGGCTTTTCTAAGTAAGGATCTAGTCTGGCGTGGTGGTTCACTTCTATAATCCCAGCACATGGAGGCGGAGGCAGGAGGTCACTAGTAAGAGGCCAGCCTGGGCTACACAGTGAGACCCTGTCTCAAAAAAAGAAATATGCCAGGCACTGGTGTCTCACACTTGTAATCTTAGTGGGAGGATCATGGCTCGAAGTCAGACTGAGCAAATAGTTCTCAAGACCTCATCTCCAAAATAAGCAGAGCAAAATGGACTGGAGGCGTGGCTCAAACAGTAAAGCGCCTGCTTTGGAAGTTCAAAGCCCTGAGTTCAAACCCCAGTCCCACCAAAAAAAGTAAATACAGGATTTCAGTGATTCAATAAGCCCATCAATCCTTCACTAAGACCCATGCTATCCTTCCAAATCTTCCACTCCTCATCACCTCCACTGCCACCACCCTGGGCACACACCCCAGGACCTCTTCCTCACTGGTCTTCCTGTTTCCACTCTGGCACCCACAGTCAAGGCTTAAGGCCACAGAAGGAGTGACTTTTTTTTTTTAATGGCAATCACTCTCTTTCCTGGAGCACTTCACTGACTCGCCCTTACTCTTACAATCAAATCCAAAGGTCTTGTTATGGCACCTGCCTGCCTCATGATCTTACAGGAGTTCCTACAAACACCCAGCTCCATCCTGCCTCAGGGCCTTTGTACATGCTCTTCCCGCTATGGGGAACACGTGTCCCCAAGAGCTGTAATGGCTGGCTGCTCCTACCCATTATATCTCAGATCTGCCCCCCCCCCCAGGGGTGCAGAACCCACCAGGGCCTTGCACATGCCAGGCAAGTGCTCTACCACTGAGCTATATCCAGCCCTAGTTTTTTTTGTTTGTTCCTTTTTTTTTTTTTGCGGTACCAGGATTTGAACTCAGGGCCTCACACTTGCTAGGCAGGTGCTCTTACCACTTAAGCCACTCCACTGGTCCTATTTGTTTGTTTTTTTTCCTGGCATATATTACAGCCCTTAGTTTTGTTTTATTTTGGGACTGGGTCTCCCTGTATAGCCCATGCTGGCCTGGAACTTGAGACCTTCTTGCCTCTGACTCCTGTTGTTGGAATTACAGGTGTACACCACCATACCTGGCCACATCTCAGCTTCAATGTGTTATGATCAGGGAAAACTTACTGTCCCCAGTTCCCCAATATAATATAGCTCTCTCGTGTTACTCTGTCCAGTAGAACTTTCCACAATGTTAGAGTGTTCTACACTGGTGCTGTCCCCTGTGGTCCCTGTTGCTGCATGTGGTGACAGAACACTTTAAACGTAAACCAAATGCTTAAATGATACTTAGTGCTATTTAAACCACAGGTGGCCAGTGGCTCTTTTAAGCTCGGAGAAGGTAGGAACTGTTTGGTGCTACCCAGTTGCTAAGCTGGGGCTCAGCCTAGTGCCTGGTCAGATGTGGGGCTCATGGGGAATACAGACTTGGGGTTTCCTCATAAGCCCTGGAGAATTGTACCCTCATCCCAGAAAGTGTCATTCACACGCCTGACCACAGGGTGGCACCCTAGTGTCTCAGGCCGAGTCCAGAGTCCTGGGAGAAAATGCATGGCAGGAGGGTTCCGGGTGCTAATCTCCTTGGTCTCTGTGTCCCTTGTCCTTTCCTAAGTCCTGGAACTTGAACAGCTGCCACCCAATGGCTTCCAGTGTTACAGCTGTGAAGGAAACAGCACCCACGGATGTTCCTCCAATAAGACTTCCCTCATCCACTGCCAGGGCCCCATGGATCAATGTCTGGAAGCCACAGGCACTAAGGGTAAGTAAGGCCCTTTGGGTGGCTGGGGCACCTCCTGGAGGAAAAGTGGAACTACAAACTGTAGTGAGGAATTAGGACTTGTCCAACAGGAAATGGACATTCTGCCACAGTCCACACTGAGACTTCTGTGGGGGCGGGATTTCCTGGAGATGTCAGGGACTTCCTGTGGCCATCTGGAGCTTTTATCTTGGCACATTAATCTGAGAAGGATTCTCAAAGGTTTTGGTCTCAGGACTCTTTCAGATTCTCAGAAATTATTGGCTATGTCAGTTAGTTATATCTACAGATATGAACTGCGTCAGAAATTAAAGCTGGCTGGGCACCAGTGGCTCACGTCTGTAATCCCAGCTACTCAGGAGGCAGAGATCAGGAAGATCACAGTTCGAAGCCAGCCCCAGCAAATAATTCACAAGACCCTATCTCGAAAAAACCCATCACAAAAAAAGGGTTGGCGGAGTGGCTCAAGGTGTGGGCCCTGAGTTCAAACCCCCGTACCACAAAAAAAAAGAAAGAAAGAAAATTAAAGCTGAGAAAAAGTTTAATAGGTGCTTGCTTGTGTAACATGTGCAAGACCTTGGGTTCCATCCCCAGCACTGCAAAAATTACAAATTAATTTCATGATTAGTTTTTTATTATTTATTTATTAAAATAACAGGGCTGGGGATATAACTGAGTGATTAAAATGCTTGTCTAACATGCACAAGTCTCTAGGTTTGATCCCCAGCACTGCAAATAATTAAACTCTCATGACACGTTATTGTAAATAGCATTTTTATAAGAAATGACTGTTTTAAATGAGATGATGAGGTGAGGAGAAAGGCATTGTTTTACTGTGTTGCAAATCTCTTTTTTTGGCAGTATAGGGTTTGAACTCAGGGCTTCATGCTTGCTAGGCAGGCACTCTACCACTTGAGCCACACCTTCAGCGCAAGCCTCTTTGATGTCTGGAGTGAATAGAAAACAGCTGGGTCTTATCTCTGCTTCAGTGTTCTTTCTGTTGCAATATCACATGTCCTGGAGTTTCTCTCATATACTCATGAGACCAAGAAAACCTCATTATTATGAGGATAAATTTTGTGACGGCACTGGGGTTTGAACTCAGAGCCTCGCACTTGCTAGGCAGGTGCTCTACCACTTGAGCCACATCCCCTCCCCCAGCCTCTTTTGCTTTCATTATTTTTCAGGTAGAGTTTCCCTCTTTGGCCAGGGCTGGCCTTGGGCTTTGATCCTCCTCCATACACCTCCCACATAGCTGGGATTACAGGCGTGTATCACCAGGCCTGACCCGTATAAGAATAATTTTGACTTTGCAGATTCCTGGAATAGGTTGGAGGGACCTTTACTCCAGGTGGCAGTGGAGGTGGCACCCACAGCAAGGTGGCCTGTCACCTACTTGAGAATTCCAGGCCCAGGCCTGAGAGCTGGGAATCTCACTTGGTCTTCTCTTTCCTCAGAGTTGCAGAACCCGAGTTACACAGTGCGTGGCTGTGCGACCGCCTCATGGTGCCAGGGCTCCCATGTGGCAGACACCTTCAGAATGACCCAAGTCATTGTTTCCTGCTGCTCTGGCAGTGGCTGTAACCGCCCAGTCCCAGATGGTCAGTTCCATAGTGGAGGTGCCTCCCAGCCTGGCTCTGCCTACCTCAGCCTCACCATGACTCTGCTCATGACTGCCAGACTGTGGGGTGACATTCCCCTCTGGATCTGAATCCAAAAGCCTCCACCTTGGCTGGATCCAAGGACGTCTTTGCTCTTACCTCCACTCTATTCTTGCAGACTTGTGTACCAGTGTGCTGACTTCTCTGGGCCTCAGTTTCCCCAGTTATCCAAAAAACCTGTTTCATCAAGTTGTCCAGAGCACCAGAGGAAAATGGCCTGGAGAAAGGATCTTGAGTTTATTCATATTGTCGCCACTGTTAGGACTGTTATGAACTAATATTCATATTATTTATTTTATATTATAAATAAAATTTTTGTACCAGTGAACAAGGCTGAATTTGCCCATCGCTGTAGCACCTATCTTTGACAGGGCATGGGGTGTTTCTGGACGTTTCTGGAATTACAGGTCAGGCTGTAGGACCCAGCCATTTGAGGCTCTGCCTTTTCAGTGGTCACTGTGTACCGCCCCCCCCGCCCCGCCCAAGCTGCCTCCACATCCATTTCTGACCTCCAAATGCATTTTTTTAAAATTTTGAAGCAGGATGTCATTCTGTCACTTTGTAGCCCAAGTGTTCCTTCCTCCTACCTCAGCCTCCCAAGAGCTAGGTTACAGATGTCAGTCACCATGTCACACAACTGATGGAATCTTCTAATTTACCCACCCAAGCACCAACCTTCCAGTCGTCTCTTCTCACAAATGTCCAAGGTTAAGATTATTTCATTTTTCTAAGGACACATGTCTGCATTTCCCAGGGTGCCCTGGGGCAGGAGATGGATAGGAGAGAACGTAGTGGCCAGAACTCCCTTGATGACAGTGAGAAATCCAAGGAAAAAATTTCCCTTGATGCCTAGGGTAGGGAATAAAGTCTGGGCTAAATTTCCCAGGGTGCCTTAGGACTGACATAGAAAAAGGCAAGATTACTGTTTCACTTCTCTTTTCTTTTTTTTTTCTGGCGGCACTGGGGTTTGAACTCAGAGCCTCACACGTGGTAGACAGGTGTTCTGCCACTCGAACCACTCCGCCAACCCCACACTCTCTTTTTCTGTCCTTTTCTTAGTTTAGGTTTAAGGTGAGGGCGATGGTCAGGTTTGGGGTTAGCATTAGGGTTAGAGTGAGGGTAAGGGCGAGGGTAGGGTAGGGTGGGGGTTAGGATGAAAGTGAGGGGAGGTCTGTGGTGAGGTTTGGGGTGAGGGGTAGGGTTGCTTAGGGTGAGGCTTAGGATGAAGGTGAGGCTAGGATGAGGGTGAGGGTTGGGGTGGAGGTAAGAGTACAGTGAGGGTAGGGTTAGGTTGGAGTTGGGGGGTTAGGGCGATGGTGATGGAGAGGGTGACAGGCAGGTTAGGATGAGCGTGAGGTTTCTGTCTAAGGGCGAGTGCGGGGATGCACCAGGACTATGTTGCAGTGGCACCGTTGGGGCACAATATTGAAAAACTCGTGTTTCTCATGGTTCACTGTGACAACCCATGGGGACAAATTGCGATCCCCAAAAGTGCTTCCCACGAAGAAACAACATAATGTTAGGGGCTGGTGAGGGATAGTGTTTTTTTAAAGGCATCCTCTCATCCTGTGTCACCACCTGTCCTGGTAGCTTAAAGAGGAGAAGTCTAACTGGGCGTGGTGGCACAGGCCTATGATCGCACCACTCAGGAGGCTGAGGCAGGATTGTGAGTTCAAGGCCAGCCTGAGCTACATACTCAGACGCTCTGTCACCAAAGAAACAAACACGTAAAGTCTGTATGTCCGGCTCTGCTTTAACCTTTAATAGACACGTGGTGGAGTGACATTGTGGCACGGTAAGGAACCAGACCTTCAGAAACTCAACTCCCATGTCCTAAGTCGTGGAACATTTGCTATGGGGGAAACAATTGCAATTTAAAAGCCCTACTGCCCAGAGACTGCCATGCTGTGAGGAAGCCCAAGCTAGTCCAGCACAGAAGCCAAGTGCAGCGACAGCCCAGATGGTCAGCCATGTCAGCCCAGCCTCCAGATAAGGGCAAAGGAGCCACCATGAACATGTGACCAGAAGCCTTGCCTGGAGCTGCTGAAACAGATCCTACAGACTTACAATTTTAAGTAGCTTAAAATGACAGAAACTCAAGCTGGGCACCGGTGGTTCACAACTATAATCCTAGCTACTCAGGAGGCAGAGATCAGGATCACAGTTGGAGGCAATCTGGGCTGTTGTGGTGGGGGAAGTTTGAGACTCTATCTCAATGGGAAAAAGCTGGTATGGTGGTGCATGCCTGTCATCCCAGCTATGGTAGGAAACTTAAAATAGGAGGCTCGGAGTCCAGGCCAGCCTGGGCAAAAAGTGAGACGTAGCTCCATAATAACCAGAACAAAGAGGCTGGTGGAGTGGCTCAAGCAGTAGAGTGCATGCCTAGCAAGCATAAAGCCCTGAGTTCAAACCTTAGTACTGCCAAAAATTCTCAGAATCATGAAATCTAAAGGTGTGGTTTTATACCATCACACTCTGGGGTGGGTTTCTTTCTTTGTTTTTTTAATGCAGCAATGACTAACTGGAGCAGTTGTTGTTTTGGGGGTTCTTGTGTGTGTATGTTTGTATTTCACTCACTCTTGCCATTATAATTGCCATGTAGAAGAAGGCTTTTATTTGTTTGCCTCTGTGTATTGCCTGAAATATGCCTGGAAGGAAAGCCAGCCAGGACTGTATTTCCCATGATGCTCTACAGCAGAGAGAGGCTAAGATGACATCTTCTGAGATGCTCCATATTTACAATTGAGGATAATTTCACTGTTTCCACAATGCCCTCCAGCGGACATTGAGGCTAGGGACACATATCTCACAATCTGTGGACCAGAGTCTGGTATCAAACCCCCATTGCTAGTGGTTTTGAATTTTTGTTCAAAGGTCTTTGGTTGTAACACATAAAATCTGTTTGTGCTGACTTAAGCAAAAACTGTTATTGGAAGTTTAAAAGCCAAGCAAGACCTAGGTCTCCTGGGCTTAGCAGGGACAGGAAACAGAACTGAAGAGGCTAGGGATGTAGCTCAGTGATGGAGGGTCCTAGGTTCAAGTCCCAGTGTTGCAGAAAAAAAAAAAAAGAGAAAGGCTGCATGAAACCCAAGTTCTCTCTCTCTCTCTCTCTCTCTCTCTCTCTCTCTCTCTCTCTCTCTCCTCTCCCCCTTTCCCTCTCCCTCTCCCTCTCTCCCTCTGTCTCTCTCTCTCATTTCCTTCCTGGGTTTCCATTTTATTTTTGTCTCTCTACACATACAGTAGAACATACACCCACTGGGATGATATGTAGCAAGAGCTACTTGAGTCTCTGTTCTCAAATTTTAGCTGGAAGACTGACTGGGTTCCATTAGGGCCAAAGTCAAGCCTCTGCCCAGCCAGGGCAATTCACATCAAAGCCACCACCTAGAGTTGTTCAGGTCAAGCACAGTCCTCAAGGGGTGCTGCCCTTCCACCAGAGCTGGGAAAACAGACCCTGTAAGAGCAATCCTGCCACAGGTTGGGGGAACAACTGAAAAAGAACCTTTCTATCATTTAGTATGCTTTAATCAGCAAGCAGGGCTGCTTCCACATATTTTGTGTGAACACTGGCAATATGGGAGTCAAGGCTATACTTAAGAGGACACCCAAGTCAAAATGGTTAACAAAGAGGAAATTGGTTATCTCATATAACAAGAGACCACGAGTTAGGGCAGTACTTGGGATGACTACTTAAATGGGTCCACCATGTCTTAAATGGGTCCACCATGTCTTAAATGTTCCAGTCAGGCTTGTCTACTTCTTGGCCTCAAGATGGCTGCTTCAGTTCCAGACATCACACTCATGTTCAGAGGCAATAGCAAAGGGGCCAATTCTAGGATGTCTTTTGAAAAACAATGAAAACTTAACTTCCCAATGTCCAGACAGACTTACCCTTGTGTTTCAGGATGCGGCAATAGCAAACATTTGGTAAAGTGTATTCAGACCCAATCCTGTGGGCTCACCCCTCATTGTGGGTATCAAAGAAAGAAAGGTGGATGCCTAAACAGATTCAACAGTGTCTTAGGAAAGACAAAGGGAAAAGATACAGAGTTTGAGGCTAGCCTGGGCTATGTAGTAAGTTCAAGATCAGTCTGAGGTATGGAGGGAGAGAGAACCCAAAATTTTAAGTTTTAAGTTTTTAGATGAGGGTATTTCAAGTCTCTTCCTTCTCTCCTCTCCTCTTCCAGCGAAGCCAGCCTGGAACCATATGTCACATGAAACATTTTTCTTTCTCTGGAGCCAGTGGGATTGGATTTGCTGTCACCCTAAAACCCTAAAGAACAGAGCAACCTGGAGGACAGGGACAGGATCATCACTCTCCTGATGTCTTCGGATAGAAGAAATGATGGGACCCAAAGATGACAGATGAGAACCAAACCAGTATCTCCCAGGATGCTTCATGGCTGGGGCAGGAGACATGCATTGGAGCCCACTGGTTCTTTGGGGAAATGTAGCTGTTAGCTACACACTTGGCATGGTTTAGATCTGGCTTGAGTGTGTGCATTAATCAAATGTTGACATTTAATCCCCATCATGAGATATGAAGAGGGCAGAAACTTAATCCAACTATGTCATTTAGAGGTGGGACTTGGGGAATAACTAGGATTAGATAAAGTCATCAGGGTGGAGTCCCCATGATTGGATCCTGGTGTTTTTGTTTGGTTTTGTTTTCAGTACTAGGGTTGAACTCAGGGCCTACACCTTGAACCACTCCACTAGCCCTTTTTTGTGACGAGATTTTTCAAGATAGGATCTCACGAACTATTTGCTCCAGCTGGCATCGAACCTCGATCCTTCTGATCTCTGCCTCCTGAGTAGTTAGGATTACAGGCATGAGCCACTGGCACCCAGCTCCTGGTGGCTTTATATGAAGAGGGAGAAAAAAAAAACACAAGAAAAATTGGAAGACTTAATGTGGTGGTGGTGGAGGAGGAGGAGGAAGAAGAGAAAGAGGAGGAGGAGACAGAAGAAGAAGAAATAATCAGAGAGACACATGTACTCCCTGTCTCTTGCCATGTGATATCCTGTGCCACCAGTGACTCTGCCAGCCAAGAAGGACATTACCAGCTGGGGCCCCAATTCATTGCCAAAATAAACCTTTTCTTTACAACTTGCCCAGTGTAGGCATTGTGTTGTTGCCAACAGAAAACACGTGATACACCTTGAACCAGTATCCCAAACTCAGGTCAAACACTTCTCTCCCACCCAGCCCAGATCACAGAACGCCATCCCCAGAAGGATCAGATTTTTTCCTATCTGACCACCTCTTTCCCCAGTCTACAAACCGAGGACTGAAAAGAAAAGTTGCTTACAGTCGTAGTCCTGGGAATACAGGGCTTGATGAAAGCTTTGGTCCTGAGGCCAGAGAGGATGCTAGGAGCTGGGCACTGGACAGAAAGCATGTTGGGAGCTGAAGTCTCTTGATTGGCCTGGATGTAGAATTTTTTCGTAGTCATGGCGATAAAGAATTGGCATATCTGGATCTCAGTTTTCCTGACTGTCAATGGGGCACATGAGAAGTTAAGGCCTATTTCCCATTGCTTCTCACTTTTCCTGGGTTCTGCAGGTGAGAATCCTGCACCAGGTCTTCAGGTTCCCATAGAACTGGACTCTTCAGGAGGGAGAAGAGACGGGGGACTTGTCTACGGACATACCACCCTGAACGCGCCCGGTCTCCTCTGATCTTGGAAGCTAAGCAGGGTCGGGCCTGGTTAGTACTTGGATGGGAGACTGGAGACTGGAGGGGTGACGGGGTCAGAGCAGATGCTTCACTGGAGAGACCGGACCTAGACCGACTGAGCAGGAAGGAGAGAAGGGCGGGGAGCTGGGACGCCAGGCCTGGGAGGTGCCCACAGGAGCGTCTCTACCCCACCCCCACGCCAGGCCCAGGACCGGGCTTCCTTCAGTTGGTTACTTTCTGGGGGCCCCTCCCAGGGAGTGAGGCTGAACTAGGGGATCGCAGGGAGGGAGGGAGCCCCCGCCCTACGAGATCCCGTACCTGCCCAGCTTTCCATCATACCAGACATCTTCACCTTCACCTTCAACTCACCTGCCCACAAAACACCTCTCGCACTCACCTTTCCCGCATCACGCCCTCCGTTCAAGCTCACGCTGTCACGCACACCCCCACTCTCCCCTGTCACACGCACCCCAGCCTTCACGCGTACACTCACCCCCTCAACACCACCCACCCGCACCTTCGCGCACCTTTCGCGCTGCACCCTGGGCCGCACTGGCTGACAGTCTCCCACTCCCGCTGCCCGCACACGCACCTTGCCACCTGCGCGCAACACCCACGTCCTCGCCCCCCCACACCCCCCACCACCCTGTCACGCTCACGCCAACCCTCGGCGCCCCCGCAGCGCGCGCCTCCCTTCGCTGCGCTCCCCGCCCCCCACCCAGTTGCCGCGGCCTCTCCGCCCCTCCCCTCCCGGCCCAGGCCCCGCCCCTGCCTCGAAGCCCCTCCCCTCCCCTTAAGCCCCGCCCCCGGGCGGGCAGGGGGCGGGGCGCGGGGGCGGGGCGGGCGGCGCGGGCGGTGCAGGTGCCGGGCCGGGAGCGAGCGGCGGCGGCGGCGGCGGTGGCGGCGGCGGCACCATGGGCCGGGCCCGGCGCTTCCAGTGGCCGCTGCTGCTGCTGTGGGCGGCCGCGGCGGGGCCAGGTAGGGTTGGGGGCCGGGGTCTGCCGGCCGGGCTAGGGCGGGCGGGAGGTGGGGGGGTCGCGCCGCGGTGACAGCTCGGCCGCCGCGGGGCCGCAGAGGCCAAACAATGCGCTCGGGGCCGGGCCAGGGCCCCCTCCCCGGGACAAAGCGCAGCGCGGTCCGGGAGCCGGGAGCCACGAGCGGGGGAGGGGGCGCGGGCCCTGGTCGCGGTGCCGCAGCCCCCCACCCCCACCCCGCACACCCCGCACAGGCCCCGATCCCGGCGGGGACAAAGGACCTGAGACCACCCCCCTCCACACACACCCCAGCCCGCCTTCACCGGGCCAGTCCCGCTGTCCTGTCTGGTCTCTGCGTCCTCTGTCCGCCAGTTCCTAGATCCCTCTCTCTCCTTGTCCCCCCACCCTTGTCCTCTGTCCCTCAGTCTCGAAGTCCTGTCTCTCCTGTCTGTCCCCCTTTCTCCTTGTCTCTATCCTGTCTTTGTCCCCCACCTCTGTCCCTTGATCTCTGTCCCTTTTTCCTGGGTCACTCTATACCTCCCCAGTCATCCTCTCTATTCATTCAACTCTGTCCCCCTGTATTTCTGCCCTCCCTCTATGCCCCCATTCTGCATCTCTGTTTCTGTGTTGCTGTCACCCTGTTTCTTTTCTCTTTCTCTCTGTCCCCCAACCTCTGTCTCTCTGTCCCCTGTCATTCTGTCACCCGTTTCTCTAGCCTGTTCTGTAATTTATCTCCCTCCTTCCTCCTCTCTGTCCCAATGTCTCCCTGCTTGCTACCCATACAACCTCCATCTCAGGAACCCCAACCCATCCTTCATCCCTCCGTCTGTACCCCTCTGTGTCCCTGGAGAGGAATTCAGTCAAATAGAGCAGCCGAAAGAGCCCTGGGGGGAAAGGTCTGTGTGGCAGCGAAGTGGGGTGGAGAACCTTGGCATGTGGGTATACACGTGGACGGAGCAGATGCGTCTCCAAGCCCTCCCACCCATTCACACACCCAGGCCGTGGCTTACAGAGCAGTCCCCTTCATGGTATCCAGGGAGCGGTCCACACACCCTCGCTACATACTGTGGGAAGCTGGACCCCCAAGACAGGGTGACCCTGAGTCTGGAGACAAGGTCAGGAAATGTCACCTGAACACTTAGACTCATTTGTGTGTGTCTCAAACCTACTATGGGTCACCTCCTCCCTGGTGGGTCAAGCCACTTTTGGAAGGACCTGAACCAAGGCAGGACTTGGGAGGTGTGCTATAGGGATTTGGGAGAGGAGTTGTGCCCAGGTGGCACAGGGCTTGGGACTTGAGTTTAAGCAGCCAATGACAAACACCCCCATCTTCCCTGGCTTCAGTTTCCTGGTCTGTAAAGTGATGACATTGAACTCAGTGACCTGAAAGGCAATACCAGCTTGGGTGCGAAGGGGCTTCCACCTGCCCTCTCCAAGGTTTGAGGCAGAACTACGCCCCCCCCCCCCACCATACAAGGCGAGAGCCAAGGCTAACCTCAGACACTTTGCCTTTCTTTTTTCTGTAGCCTTCTGTGTCTGTTTCCTAACTTGTACCATTCTCTCCTTCCTTTACCACAATCATGCCCAATTTCCCAGATGAGAGCTTAGCTACATTTCCATCAGTCTTTTCTTTTTCTTTCTTTCTTTTTTTTTTTTTTTAGGCTTGAAAACCAGGATCATTGTATCCTGGAACCAATGAACCCAGCAAACAAAGAATCTGAGGGAATTTAGAATATTGTTATCTTTAGGATTCTAGAATCTGGACGTCCTTAGAACCCTGACACTTTTAAAGTTCTAGAACCTTGGTGGTGATAGCATTCTAGCATCTTGACATCTTTCAAATTCTGAAATCTTGGCTGTTGGAATTCTTGGATCTTGACCTCCTTGACATGTGGCATCTTGGCCCCACAGAATCAAGGGACTTATCAGAATGTGACTTCAGCTGACCACCTACACAGTTGAGGACTCTTGTCGAGAGATGGCTCTCAGCTTTGTCCCTGGTTTGATTATAGGCACTGCTTCCTGGCACCCACATCCTCTCTGTAAATGTCTGCTAAATTACATGTGTGGGGCTTTACAAGTGGACAGCCAGCTTTGTATCATGGAGAGAACTCTAGGCTAGGTGCTAAGGAACTGGGTCCCAGCTTCACCTCATCCTCTTTGATATCATTTTATACCCATCTGTGTCCTTCTCTGAGCCACCGAGTGTCCCTTCTGTACAGTACAGAGTAGGAAGCTGTGACAAATGCTCTCCAGGGACCCTGCTGGCTTTTATTCATTGGCTATTTCAGAATAACCTTGGACACCAAATTTTAGGGAGTCTCAGTGGTCCCCACATTTCCTTCTTAGTCATCCCTTTTCTCCGTCACCTAACCCAGCCAGCAGGAGTGGGGATGGGAGATGGAACCTATGTTTGTGGCCTTTCCAAAACCTATTTTCTCTGTGCTGGCTCACTCAGATGACAAGAATACCAGAGGAGGAGGATGGATGGAATTTATGCTGAAAGAAAGAAGGGTCTGGGGTGGGCAGGTTAGAGTATGGAGAGAAAGAGAGATGAGTTCCCTGCCCAGAGATGCACACAGCAGGAAACAGATCCACAGGCCAGAAACTGGGTGGAACAGAAAGAAGTAGAGAAGGCAGATTACAGATACCAAGAAAGAATAAAGCGGCTGTTAAGAGTTGGGGAGACTGGGGAAGGGGGGATTGTTGATTCCAATACAGTGTTTCCCTCCCAGGCTGACTCACTTTTCCCTGCTAAAGTTCTGACCAGCCACTCTGAGAACAGGGTGGGGGACCCTCCCCTCCTTTTGAGCCACACCAAGGAACAGGTCTTGGGAGATTTCTACCCTACACCCTCCCCACTCACCCATGAGCTGGTCGCTTGAATCCCCAAGAACCCCCCGGGGGGGTGGGGGGTCAGGTTCCACCATGGAATCCAAGACCTTAGACCCAGCAGGGCTGGGGCCCAGGGGTGGGTTAATGTCGTGCGAGCCTGGCCTGTCCCCGTCTTGGGGACACAAAGGCAGCTTTCTCTCTCTGGGTGGTGATGGGGGGGCTGGAGACAGTCAGACCCGCCAGCATCCAATGGCTTGTGGCACCAGGACCCAAAACGCCCATGGTTTCTGCCTGGGCACACTCAGCCTGTAGAATCCAGGCACCCCGGCTCCTCCATGGATACACAGGGGGGCAGGGGTGGGGGCAGAGCCTCAGCTCTTCCGGGAAGGGGGTGAATAAAAGGCCCTGGGGGTGGAGGATCGAACAGGGGCCGCTCAGTGCTAGCTGTACTCTTCTAGGAGCAGGAATTTACCCCAGAACCCCACACCCAGGGTGACCCTCCAGAGTCCCCACCCTCTAGCTGGGCCTGAGGCCTGGAATCCAGGGAGTCCTGAATATCCCAGGAACGTGGGGCCACAGGGAGGACTTTGTATGTGACGCTGCTGACTCACCCTGACGCCCCCACCTGAAGCCTGGGTCCCAAGAGAGGAGGGAGACAAAGGACAGAGGAAGGCAGGACCCAGGTTCTGGAGGTTGAGGGCCGTAGACTTGGAATCCAAAGTTTTCAGGAGAGGAGGGGCTGGGCTGGAGCCCTGGGTCCAAGAGAAAGGGGGCTGGGCTGGAGCCCTGGGTCCAAGAGAAAGGGGGCTGGGCTGGAGCCCTGGGTCCAAGGTAGGAGGTCTGGGGTCTGGACTCCTGGGTCTGAGGGAGGAAGTGGGGGACAGCTATCTAGAGCCTGATGGAGGAGGGGCTGGGGCCTGGAGCCCTGGGTCTGTGGAGGGCTGGGAGTCTGGACCCCTGGGTATAAGGGAGAAGAGCTGGCTGGGACCAGGATGCCTGCGTCAGAGCGAGGAGGAGGGCTGGCTGGGGCCTGGAGCCCTGGGTCTCAGGGAGGAGGGCTGGGGTCTGAAACCCAGGATCTGAGGGAGAAGGGTCTGGGGTGTGAACTCCTGGTTCTGAATTTGGAGGGGTTGGGAGTCCATACTTCTACGTCTTGAGGAGGATGAAAGGTTACAGACCCTTAGGTCCTCAGAGAGGAAGGGCTGGTGTTCCAAGGGAGGTGGGGCTGGGACCCTGATGCCTAGGTCCTACAAATACAGGCGCCTTCACAAGGCTGAGCTGGTGAAGAATTGATGCTTTGTGTGAGGATGTTCGGACTCTGCCATTGATGGGGGGGTGAGGGGGGTTCAGTCAAAATGCAGGGATGTACCACCTCCCTAGGGGAGGAAGGGGGAAGGAGGCAAGGTGCCAGGAGCCCCCTGGGGAGCGGATACAGAGGGGGTGGCTGTGACCTTCCTGAAACGGTGACCTTGAGACTCCCTTGGGTATTCGCTGACTCAGGACCCAGGAAATGCTCCCCCCACTCTGCTTAGTCTGTGTGGAAACATCCACCAGCTGTGTGTTCTGGACCCCTGTCTCTTGGGTCTGAAGAAGGAGGGGCTCGAGTCTGGGGCTCCTGGGTCTGAAGGGGAAGGCGGAGGGTTCAGACCCGTGGGTTTGAAGGAGGAAGGGTGCAGAGAGCCTGGACCCCTAGTTCTAAGGGAGGAAGTGGAGGTCAGACTCCTGGAACACATGGTGGAGAGGCTGGGACCTGGACCAATGGTGTGAGGGACAAGGGCTGGGGCCAGGGTCTGAGGAAGGAGGTAGTTGGGGCTGGACCCTTGGGTCTGAGTAAAGGAAGTGGATGGGGGCTTGGACACCTGGGTGTGAGGGAGGAGGGCTGGGGTCGGATCCCATGAATGAGGAAGGAGGCTGGGGTCTGGATCCCTAGATCTGAGGGAGGAGGCTGGGGCCTGGATCTCTGGGTCTGAGTGGAGGAAATGGTTGGGGGTCTGGACCCTGGGGTCTGAGGGAGGAGGCCAGGGATTGGATCCCTGGGTCTGAGGGAGGAAGGCTGGGGACTGGACCCCTGGTTCTGAGGGAGGAGGGCTGAGGCCTAGACTCCTGGGTCTGATGGAGAAGGTGTGGAACCCATGCTCCTGGGTCCTGGGATAGACATTGGTTGTGGAC